GGTCAGCTGACATGGGTTGTTTTTGCCCGTTTTGCCTCTTAAATGCTGGATTTTTGCCCGGGTTGGCTTCAGCATTAAGGTTCAGTTCTTGAGATTGACGGTACTGGCTTCGTACCTCATTCTTGATTGCTCTTTCTTCTCGACCTCTTGCATAGTTTGTCACGAATGCGTATCGTTCGTGTTTGGCAAATCCGATAGGTGAGCCGCAAATATAACGTCGGTTAAGCTTCTCTTTAAACCAGAAATAAACACTCGTAGAGCGTCTCCTCTGAATTTTTCACACATGCCCTTTGCTAAATCTCTATCTTTGTTGGTGAGCAAGGTGAGCTTTTTCTAAGTAGCAGTAGTATTCTAAGAGGTAGGTCTCTTATCGCTGTAAGTGAAATCGAGGCGAGCTAAGATAGCCTCAAAATTAAGAGCCGTGTTAAACGAGGCCAATACTACGTTAGCAGGACCCGTTATTTTGTTGCAAATAATTATGATGGCTTGATAGTGACGTGAGCTACCATTAAAATTCTCAAAAAGTTTGTGCACGGCATGGGCAGCTTGTCGCCAAGCCACGTATGTGTCATGTGTACCCAGGAAATCTTATAAGCTTTTGACTGCGTCCAAAGGTTCATCGCACTTTACATTTGGGATAATTTCCGCATCTTTGTACACTGTTACCTCTGGGACTGATAACTGTATTGCCCTTAATCGACCTGACAGTTCTTCGATCTTTTGTTCTTGCTCTGCCCTAAGCCGCTGCTCTCCTCTGCCCGATTCCTCCGCCTGGGCCGCCAAAGCGGATTCGTTCCTGTGGGTTGGTTAACCTTATTTCTTGCCAATCTACACTGTTCATGCACTAGGTCTATCGTCACTATCGTCTTGCGTTCTATAACTCATATGTTTAAACACTTTAAGTATCATGAGAAAGGAAGGTTTCTTACATAGGCACAGGAGCTTCAATATCTAAATCAGTTGTTCTGATAAAAGGCCCACTTACATGTTTCTCTCGACTTGTTGACTTCGCCTCCTGCCGTCTCCGCTGCTTTCTTTACGTTGGGCGCCAATTAGTTCAATTGTAGTTTGTGAGAATTAATTATTTATTAGGAGCGGTCTGCTGCCTTCAAAGTTTAAAATAAATCTAAATCTAGAAAATATTGCAGGCCGCTGCTCCGAGGTTGCTGAATGACACAGCTTGTCGAACTTGTCGAACTGCGCCAGCTCGTTAACGTTGCGCGTGTGGTGGATTTCAGAACATTTTTCGATTGATGTCACTAATTAATACATGTTCTTTATTTAAGGCATCAAATACAACTGTATTCTTATTCTATTCTTTTATATGACTCTCGGTTCCGATCATGGTAAAGTATGCTTATGATAGACAGCGGAAGCTGCGATAATTGTTTACGATTAGAATATGGGAATTGCGTCTTATTGCTAAAGTGTGTTTATATTATGCAGTTAGGCTGTGAGAATCCTCTTCGATAATTGTTTATGTTTACAATATGGGAAATGCATCTTTGCTAAAGTATGTTTATATTTTTCCTATAAGCATACATTCAAATGCGTGTATTCTTTTCTATTCGAAGTTCCGAAATTGCTGTTGAATTGTGCCGAATTATTAGCTGTTACTTAACTTTAAATTTGAAACTGTGCGAGTAAGCAATGCAGTGGCTGCGTTGGTAGAGGCGGCGTCAACGTTAAATCCTTGGGTTCAATCATCGCGGCTTTGAGATATTGTTTTATTTTTATATCCTGATCCCATTGAAAATGGGAAATCAGGGTATAATGGTTTTGTGTAAATGTATGTAACAGGCTGAAGGAGGCGTGGCAGACCATAAAGTATATATATTCTTGATCAGGACGACAAGCCGAGTCGATTGAGCCCTGTCCGTCTGTCTGTCTGTCTGTCTGTCCGTCTGTTCGTATGTATGAACGCGTGGATCTCAGCATCTATAAGATCTAGAGACTTGAAATTTTGTAGGTCCGTGTATAGCACGCGCAGGTCAAGTTTGTTTCAAATATTCGATAACTATTCACATTTAATTGTTATCGAATAAAAACATGATCGAAATGCAGTTAATAAATTATATCTCGTAAGTTTCAAATTTCGTACTTAGTTTTATGTATCTTTTATACAATTTTGATTTTTGTTGGATTTTGGATACCGGCTCCATATTTCCCCAAATTCTTACAATTTAATTTTAGTTGGAAATAGGGTCATTATGTGAAGGCGTTTGCATCACTGCCAAATCAATAGAATATGTATATCATATGCTGAAAATGTAATTAATCCATTTCAGTAATACATTAAGTAAAACAGAAGTTATTAAACAAAACGTTTGGCCAATTTGCAAAAGCAAATGTCAGCAGCGCCACTCCACGCTTTTTTCATATACACATATAAGTTAATTTTATTATTATTTAAATTAAATTTTAAATAAAATAACGATTTATTTATTTGAACCGCTTTATTCAGATTCTTGTTTGGGACTGAAGTTGACAAAATTTATTCTGCTAATTTATACTACGCGACGTTCGCTGCTGGAGTCGTTCAAGTGGCTGGTGTGAATGCAGAAATGCAGAGTAGGCATTTCTACATTGCGCGTGGCGGATGTTTATGTTAGCATTTCTGGATTATTGGATGTTTCCCAGACGACAAAGTTACAAAATTGTAATTTGATTCAGTTGCAAAGTTGCAACTTGATTGTTGTTAACTTATACATTCAAATGCGTGTATTCTTTTCTATTCGAAGAATCGAAATTGCGATCAGCTGCTATTTAAGTCCAAATTTGCAACTCTTCTTGCAAGCGGTGCAGTGACTACGATGTTAGAGGCGGCGCTCGTAAGAGGTTAATCCCTGGTTTCGAGATTGGTGGCGATGGTACATTTTTTCTGTATTTTTTTTTTTATTTAATTATGAAGTGGCGGTGTTGGTAGAGTTGAAGAGCGTTGCGTAGAAATTGTAGGTTCGAATCTTGGTGTCTTAAGGAAGATTTTTATTTGTTTTTTTTTTTTGAATACTCGATACAAACTACGGAAAATATTTTTTTTAATACTTTTGTACTGAGTTGGAAGGGCCAGTAACAGAACGGAGCCTGCTTGATTTTTTGGAACGCGGCCTGCCTCGAGAACGACTGCATTCGTTACTGTTAAGTAGCAAGGAACGTTTGTAATCTGTTGGGGGGAAAGAGACGAACTTCTGTTCGGACTCGCACCGTTTCCCCGTCTCCCGTCTACCGTCTGCCTTTAAGCGGTGCTGCTCAACAGAGCTACTGGTAATAGAACTGTATACTGTTGCTGTTTCACGTGCAACTGTGGCGTAATTGCTGTCCAGCATGTGAGCATCGACGGGACGCACTCGCACTCAAATCCGAGCGGCTTCTGGCGATGTTGTCACGTCTCACTGTCCATCTCAATATAGGCCGTCCCTTTCCTTGCATGCCCATTTTAATTAGTTTACTCGCTTCTCCCGGAGTTTCTTAAACTTTATTGTTATTGCGCCAGCATGCATACTTTCTATAATAATTACTGAAAATAATTTCGCTGCTCTACGAAGCCTACATGAATCAGTATATTCTACACGGATATATACATATGCCTACACAAATTGTCCACATTTATTTTATTTATTTTATATTTATTATTTGGCAATAAGCCAATAATAAGCTAAACGTCTCAAAAATCTTTTTGTGCATAAGCAAGTTCCGAACTTGATCGTTGCACAGAATAATACTGCAACGATGATGCAGAAAGTGAATTCCAAGAACCCTTGGGTAGCGGTCAACGTACCATGTACGAACCACATTGTATGTCCGTGTATAGCACGCGCATATTAAGTTGTTTCAAATATTCGATAACTATTCGCATTTAATTTTTATAGAATAAAAACATGATTGAAATGCAGTTAATAAATTATATCTCGGACGTCTTAAGAGCTAGAGCCTCCAAACTTTGTAATTAGTTTTATGTATATTTTATGCAATTTTGATTTTTGTTGCATTTTGGATACTGGCTCCAAATTTCCCCAAATTCTTAAAATTTAAGATTAGTTGGAACTAGGGCCATTATGTGAAGGCGAAGCACATGTCAGTAGCGCCACGCGTACGCATTTTTCCTATGCATTTTTCCTTTTCTATTCGAAGAGTCGAAATTGCGCTTGAATTGTGCTGAATTATTAGCTGCTACTTATATTCAAATTTGCACCTCTTCGAGTAAGCAGTGCAGTGGCTGAGGCGGCGCTCGTATGCAGCTAGGCCCAGGGCTCGAGACCGCTGGAGATGAAATATTTTTTATTGTTTTATTTTTTTTTAATTATGAAGTGGCGGTGTTGGTAGAGTTGGTGCACGTTGCGCAAACAACCCTGGTTCGAATCCTTGTCTCGTAATGTCGTTTTTTATTTGTTTTCTTCTTTTTTGAATACTCGATACAAATTACGGAAAATATTAATAAACGCAAATAGGACTGGGATCAGGGTATCTCCTAGTCGGGCACCCCGACCAGATCTTTCTTATTTGTTTTTTAATTATTAAGTGGCGGCGTTGGTACAGTTGATGCGCGTTGCGTAAAAATTGTGGGTTCGAATCTTGGTGTGGTAATGTCAGTTTTTATTTGTATTTTTTCAATACTCGTTACAAATTACGGAAAATATTAAAAATCGCAGATAGGACTGGGATCAGTGTATCTCCTAATCGGGCACCCCGACTAGAGTTTTCTTACTTGTTTATTTCGATTTTAATTATGTGATAGGACCATTGCACTAACTGTTTGTCGTTGATTGCAAATACAGCATGTTTAGAATCTTCGATTGCTGTATATTCATGCTTGTCGATAGCAATAAAACAAGAATATATATGCCTGTTATTTGCATTTCAACAAAAATATGACCAAATTTCCCATTTTCAATGGGTTGAAGGTATACAAATATATATTGAATATTTCTAGGCCAATTGACGGTGCGGAATATAGTATTATTACATAGCTTTGAAATATACAGTTAAATGAACGTACTTACTTCTTTTCTGAGTTCCATAATATTGACTCCACATGTTGAGTTTAGGGCCTTACAATATTCTTCTTTAATGCTAGAACCGTCAGAGGTCGCAAACAGGTATTCTATGATATTTCTTTCATAACCACTTATAAGGGGTTTGTCTTCAAAGACTCGTTTTTTTAAAGTTGCTGAAAAATCTTTGGTTATCTTATTTTTAATAAGACATATACTGACTGATGGAAATGTGTTTGACCAACGAATATATGTTGTCCTTATTCCTATGCTTGTCGAATCAGTATTAAACCTTGTAAACATAATCAGAAATATAGATCCCATATTCCATCCCGAGACAGTTAATAAGCATATCAAAAATAATCTGTTAAATAAGTATATTTTAGTGCTAGAGCTGTGAAGATCTAAAATGGAAAAATTTACCTTTTGTTATAAAAAAAAATTTTAAAAATATTTAAAACTGTTCTGCCTTTCATATGTCGAAATAAAAACCCTTTTAGTTTTCCAAATCTATAAATTTACCACGTATTTTTTTTATACCCTGGTCCCTTTTAATCAATAATAAATCAGGGTATAATGGTTTTGTGCAAATGTATGTGACAGGCAGAAGGAGGCGTGGCAGACCAAATAAAGTATATATATTGTTGATCTGGACGACAAGCCCTGTCCGTCTGTCTGTTCGTCCGTCTGTCCGTCTATCCGTATGTGTGGACGTGTGGATTTCATCATCTATAAGAGCTAGAGACTTGAAATTTTGTAGGTCCGTGTATAGCACGCGCAGGTCAAGTTTGTTTCAAATATTCGATAACTATTCACATTTAATTGTTATCGAATAAAAACATGATCGAAATGCAGTTAATAAATTATATCTCGTAAGTTTCAAATTTCGTACTTAGTTTTATGTATCTTTTATACAATTTTGATTTTTGTTGGATTTTGGATACCGGCTCCATATTTCCCCAAATTCTTACAATTTAATTTTAGTTGGAAATAGGGTCATTATGTGAAGGCGGTTGCATCACTGCCAAATCAATAGAATATTTTGAAAATGTAATTAATCCATTTCAGTAATACATTAAGTAAAACAGAAGTTATTAAACAAAACGTTTGGCCAATTTGCAAAAGCAAATGTCAGCAGCGCCACGCCACGCTTTTTTCCTATACACATATAAATAAATTTTATTATTATTTAAATTGAATTTTAAATAAAATAACGATTTATTTATTTGAACCGCTTTATTCAGATTCTTGTTTGGGACTGAAGTTGACAAAAATTATTCTGCTAATTTATACTACGCGACGTTCGCTGCTCGAGTCGTTCAAGTGGCTGGTGTGAATGCAGAAATGCAGAGTAGGCATTTCTACATTGAGCGTAGCAGATGTTTATGTTAGCATTTCTGGATTATTGGATGTTTCCCAGACGACAAAGTTACAAAATTTGTAATTTGACTCAGTTGCAAAGTTGCAACTTGATTGTTATTAACTCTTCCCTCGTAAATCCAAGCTTGTCCTCAAGCGACTTAAAAGAACGGTATGTTATTGAATTGAAGTGGAGGGGCTTTGATTTTTGATATTGTTTCTAGTTGTGGGGGATGCTAGCTGCAATATGATTTTTTCTTCTTTGCCTTTATACAAGTAGAGTACAAAGGCGTCTATTACCACAATGTAGAGGGCGATGACTGCTGCAGCTCCATAAGTTTCTATTTGTAGTTGTTCGATTTTTTGTGTGTTGTTTATGTGTAAAGTTTGAAGAGCCTCTAGGGAGAGTATCTTCAGTCGCTTTGTTTCTTCGGGGGTGATTTGGATTATCGGGGCTCCCGGTTTCAACAGAGTGTTTCCGACATTGCCGAAACTCCTGTCATTGACGTCGATGGTCTCGTTCCAGAAGTTTACCAAGTAGGTGCTTTTAAGCTTCGTGGTGTTATTTTGTCGCGAAATGGTTCCGTTGAAGTTTTGTAGTAGGATAAATCCGCTGTTAATTTCATCTATTTCGCTGATGTGGTCTGCATTACTAAATTTACATATTGATCTTTCTCCATTAAAAAGCCTGGGCAAACATGTGTTGTCTCTAAGACTTATGATCTCATTCTTATTACAAATTTTGATGTTATTGAAATTTTTACAATCTTTTATAATGCCATAATATTTTGTTTTACTTAACAGTATTTCTTTAAAATCTATATTGACAATTTGGTTATTTTTAATTACAAGTTTTATTATGATATTTTCGTAGTTAGTTTCTTCTAAATTTGGTATTTTTATTACATACAATAAAATTGTTTTGTTGTGCAAAATTGAAACATCGGCAAATTCTAACATTTCTTCTATTGAGAGTTGGGGCATTTTCCCTGCTTTAAAGATTCTATTTGTCTCTTGTAGTTCGTTATCTCTTAATAAGAATGAATTTATGATATTGACCTTGGCCCATTGAATTGCATATTTTATGTTAACTATTTCTTCTTTGATAAGTCTGACCTGGTTTTGAATGTTAATGGCAATGTCGTTGCTGAACATACTATCTTTCTTTATTGTATTTGTTAGACTATTTGTGACGGTTGTTAATTTATTTAATCTGTCCTCTAATTGTGTATATATAATTATTTGTTTATTATTGTTTGTAGTTAACTTATTGAGATATTCTTCTACTTGCTCGAAATCGTCATGATCTGGGCTTCCGGCAATATATTTCCAGGCTGTTCCTGTAAGATTAATAGATCTAGTGGTTCGTCTATTTATGGAAGAGGTTATTGATGAGAATATGGAGTTTGTTTGATTAATTTCGCGATTTATGGTGTGATGAAATATACTGTGTTTCAGTGATTGTTCGGTATGGAAAGTAAGTATGACCAGTGTTTCTTCTATTTTCTTAATGTCAATTACATGAATAATTCTAGTAGTGGTTGCTTGAATTTTCCCCAGACCTTTATGATGGTTTGTGCGTCCGTATAGTTCGTTATGGCGAGCTCTACGTTTGTTGTGTTTATAAGCCATGTCAGAAGTAGACTGTAATTATACGTTTTTGATATTACTTTTGTGAACTGTTTTGTTTGTTTGGGTAATAACGGTTGTACCATGGTCTAGTTTTACTACTTCCTTTTTGAATCTTGATGACAGTTTTGATCCTAATCTATTGTTTATTTTATGAAAATCGTGTCACCTGGTTTATATGTTTTTAAAGGTATTCTGTCTTTATTGTGGTGTTGTAGGTCTTGTTCTTGTTTTTGTTTCAGTCGAGTTATGTTGTCCAGTCTGGCCGTGTTCTGGGGTCGTAGTCACAGTTCTGCCAAAGAACACTTCTAAAGGTCGTCTATTAGTGACAGAATGGAAAGTATAGTTGTATTCAAACACGGCTCTATCTAGCAGTTCTTCGAAGTTTCGATGAATATTGGATCTCTTTAGAACTATCATTATTTCGGATAAGGTAGAATGAAATCTTTCTATTTGGCGATTTACCGTGCTTTTGTATGGAGGGGCTTTATAAATTTCGATGCCGAGCTGATCTCTGAGCATAAAAGGGATGGATGCGGAATTCAATGATTTTTCATTATCCATTACTATAAATTTTGGAACGCCGAAATAGAATATTATGTTTCTTAAGGGTAGTCTGATATCTTCAATTGATTTTGATTTTATGTTTATGGCTTGTGCCAATTTTGAAAATTTGTCTATTGCTGTCAAAACTAACTTCCCTTCTGTAGAGTAGATGTCGACGTGAATAATGTGTCCGGGGTATTCTGGAATTGGGGTTTCTTTGATTTGGGGATTGGTTGGATGCCTATCATATTTTTCCTCTTTGCAGATTTGACATTGTTGTAGAATGATAGCTATTTTGCTTTTCATTTTAGGGAAATAAAATTTAGAAGATATCTGAATTTTATTTTCGTCTGCGTTACGGTGGGCTCTATTATGAACTTTTAGGATTTCTTCATCCTGATCTGACTCTTTGATAAGATCTGTAACTCTAATTTGGGTAAATCTTGTTTTATAGGTTTTGAAATGTTGTGGATAAAATGTTTGAATTCGTTCCATAATGTCTTCTGTTGTTAATATGCCATTGATGATTTCTATCAATTCGTCATTGGAGTATGATTTCCTTAAAAAGGTGTGTCTTTGAAAGCACTGAAAGGGTATTTCAAACGTGTAGTTTGGTTGATCGGAGACTGAAAGAATTATTTGATTTCTAAATGAATTGATTGAGCCTCAACACTTGGGATTAGGTAATGTGAGGAGCTATTAGCACTATGTGCTGTAGAAGTTACTGAGTTTATTTGGTTTGACGGAATTCTGGATAGTGTGTCTGCGATTATGTTATCTTTCCCTGGTTTGTAGATAAGTTGGTAATCATATTCCTCGAGGAGGGCTTTCCACCTTTTAATCCTAGCGTTGTCATTCCAATTGCTTAGTGAGTGTGTTAGAGGTTGGTGATCAGTATAAATCTGTACTTTTGCTCTACCGTAAAGGTAGTTACGTAAGGACTTAATAGCCCAAATAATTGCCGGCATTTCTTTTTCATTTGTGGCGTAGTTTTCTTCTGCTTTTGATAAGGTTCTTGAGAGAAAAGTGATAGGTTTATTATCTTGACAAAGTACAGCGCCAATAGCGAAATTAGATGCGTCTGTAGTCAGCTGGAATTCTTTGTTGAAATTGGGATAGCTAAGTACTTCTTCCGAGATTAATGAATTTTTTAGTTTACGAAATGCTTCTAAAGATTCTTTGTCCATGCTTATTGGTTTTGTGGCAGACATATGTTTCGAGATTCTTCCATCTTCTCCTCTAAGTAGAGTTGTTAGTGGTTTTGCTAATTTGGCATAATCTTTAATAAATCGTCTGTAGTAGCCGGATAAGCCCAAAAAAGATCTGAGCTCTTTTAAGGTTTTGGGTACAGGATAGTTAGCTATGGCATTAACTTTCTATTCCCTTATCTGATACTACGAACCCTAGAAATTCTACTTTAGTTTTAAGGAATTCGCATTTGTCCAATTGTAGAGTTGAGATTTTGAACACGTGACTTTTCATCTTCACTAAAGATTATTATGTCATCAATGTAAATGTAGCAGATTTTACCAATATGTTGCCTTAATATGTCATCTAGAGTACGCTGGAAGATAGATGGCGCGTTTTTAAGACCAAAGGGAAGTCGTGTAAACTCATATTTTCCATTGTTTATGGAGAAAGCAGTTTTTTCAATGTCTGATTCTTTTAAAAGGATTTGGTGAAATCCACTTTTCAGATCTAGTACTGAGAAAAATTTGTTTTTACCCAATTGGGAAAGTACCACATTTATATCGGGTATTGGGTATTTATCAGCTATTGTGATTGAATTTAGTTTTCTGTAGTCTATGACTACTCGGTATTTCTTTTTTCCAGAAGCATCTAGTTTCTTTGGGAATTATAAGGTGATCTGGATGGTCTAATAATACCATCGTCTAGCATCTGTTGAATTTGTGTGTCTACTTCTTCTTTTAAAGACATTGGGTACTGGTAGTACTTAGAATAGACTGGGATATCCGAATTTGTTCTGATTCCTGCTCTAATATTTGTGACGTATTTAAGTTTTTTATTGGGGTCGGAAAATAGTCCAGGATAGAGATTTATTTATTCATCGTTAGCAGTTGTTTGTTGAATTTGTTCGTAGTTCTGTTGTTGAGAAGTTTCGTCTATTGAGTCATTTAGTCCTTCTGATTGAATATTGTAGTTGTGCTGTCTTTTATCTGTTCGGTTATGTTGCGGCCGGTTCATGTAGTTAACCTGCCGAGTTTGTACGGTTGAGTCGATTTCCATTGGTACTGGACTTTGAAGAGGTTTTGGACCAGTCGGTGGCGGAATAGGCAAGGTTTGGTATTGTTGTCGGTTTATCTGTTGGTTCATTTGAGGTCTAAAGTATGTTGTCTGATTGGGTTTTTGTGGGACATTGGATATGAAGCGTGGTTGGAACATGGTAGGGCGTAACTGTATTGGTTCTGTTGTTGTGCGTAACTGTATTGGTTCTGGGTCGGTCTTTGTGGAGTTTTTTCTATCATACGTCCTGCCCTGAAGGTCGAGGGTTGTGGTTTGTTAATCGCCTGAAAGGCAACGAACCTCTAATTTTCGAGCTTCAAGCACAGATGTAATGCTTGGGGAAGGTCAGTTGGTTCTTTAACTCCAAGTAGTTTGGGGAGGTCACCTCGTAGACCTCTTATGAATGTGTTAAGGGCCTTTTCACGGTGCACATTCGTTAGTAGTATTTCCTGATCTTTAGATAATCCCATCACCCCTATTTTGTTAATTATGAGAGACAGATGATTGTAAATTGAGGAATGAAAATCTTCAACAGATTGTGATCCCTGCCTTAAGGTTGACATCTGATACTCGAGTGTGTTTATATCCCTCTTGTCTGCGTAATGCAGAGTCAAGCATTTTGAAATAGCATTCCATTCAAGTGGAGTGTTGTAGGACTCAAGTGCCGTATCGGCTATGCCGACAATTTTGTTTCGTATTGTATTTATTATACCGAAATATTTGGGTGTTCCTATTAAATCGGAATAAGCGGATAGACAGCGGTCTACGCTCTTTTTCCAAGAACTAAATTCTGCATGGTTTCCTGAAAATTCCCTTAGTCCTTTCACTACGTCAGGTACTTTATCTAAGTCGTCAATTCTATGTCTTTGGTCTGGGTTGATGGTAACGTCAGAGTAATTGAATGGATTATCGATAGATTGGGTCTTGGTTTTGTTTAGATTCTCGACTACGATATTGTTTATGATTTCTTTTAGTTTTTCTAATGTTATGTTGGGTGCTCTAGTAGAGTCACTATTAGCCGGTTGTGGGATTGGGGGTGAAATATTATTACCCAAAACTGAAGGTCTTACTAGGTTGTTTTGATTTGCCATTTTACTTAATTTTAGATAATCTGTATTGTATTATCTTAAAAATGATTGTGTGTTATCTTAATAATTATTTTGTATGTATTTTCTTTTATGTATTTGTTAAAACTTCTTAATTTTCTTAACTAGCTTACATAAATCCTGCGGTGATCATTCCTCCTGGAATCCTTGAGTGGGTCCGGTTTGGCGACTTCCTTTAATAGCCCCTACTAAGGCTCTCGGTATTCACTTCTTGTGGAGGTAAAGCTGGGAGTGGATCTTACAACTTTTGATACACTGTCTTTTCCGCACTTAACAATGTTTTCCGTTATCGTGCATAAAATTTTGTAGTGAATCGACCGTTTTAATTTATACGGGAGTCCCTCGATTTTCACTTTGACCAGCGATGAAAATTTTGACGTGATCGTAGATACCGTTTTGCACTATTGATAGATAGATATCGTTTTGTTCTTTTAGTCACTCTCGAATATTTTCGCAACCGTAGAAACTGTTTTGCTCTTTTGGCCACTTGTTGATATTTTCTATAACTGTAGAAACTGTTTTGCTCTATTAGTTATATTCGCTGGTCCCTGCTCGGGTGTCAGTTAATTATTTAAATTGAATTTTAAATAAAATAACGATTTATTTATTTGAACCGCTTTATTCAGATTCTTGTTTGGGACTGAAGTTGACAAAATTTATTCTGCTAATTTATACTACGCGACGTTCGCTGCTGGAGTCGTTCAAGTGGCTGGTGTGAATGCAGAAATGCAGAGTAGGCATTTCTACATTGCGCGTGGCGGATGTTTATGTTAGCATTTCTGGATTATTGGATGTTTCCCAGACGACAAAGTTACAAAATTGTAATTTGATTCAGTTGCAAAGTTGCAACTTGATTGTTGTTAACTTATACATTCAAATGCGTGTATTCTTTTCTATTCGAAGAATCGAAATTGCGATCAGCTGCTATTTAAGTCCAAATTTGCAACTCTTCTTGCAAGCGGTGCAGTGACTACGATGTTAGAGGCGGCGCTCGTAAGAGGTTAATCCCTGGTTTCGAGATTGGTGGCGATGGTACATTTTTTCTGTATTTTTTTTTTTATTTAATTATGAAGTGGCGGTGTTGGTAGAGTTGAAGAGCGTTGCGTAGAAATTGTAGGTTCGAATCTTGGTGTCTTAAGGACGATTTTTATTTGTTTTTTTTTTTTGAATACTCGATACAAACTACGGAAAATATTTATTTTTTTAATACTTTTTTACTGAGTTGGAAGGGCCAGTAACAGAACGGAGTCTGCTTGATTTTTCGGAACGCGGCCTGCCACGAGAACGACTGCATTCGTTACTGTTAAGTAGCAAGGAACGTTTGTAATCTGTAGGGGTGAAAGAGACGAACTTCTGTTCGGACTCGCACCGTCTCCCGTCTACCGTCTCCCTTTAAGCGGTGCTGGTCAGCAGAGCTACTGGTAATAGAACTGAATACTGTTGCTGTTTCACGTGCAACTGTGGCGTAATTGCTGGCCAGCACGTGAGCATCGACGGGACGCACCCGCTGCTCAAATCCGAGCGGCCTCTGGCGATGTTGTCACGTGTCACTGTCCATCTCAATATAGGCCGTCCCTATCCTTGCATGCCCATTTTAATTAGTTTACTCGCTTCTCCCGGAGTTTCTTAAACTTTATTGTTATTGCGCCAGCATGCATACTTTCTATAATAATTACTGAAAAAAATGTCGCTACGATTGTTATTGTTTTATTGTGGGCGCGTTAGTTACCTTAGTCACGCCGTCTACGAAGCCTACAAGAATCAGTATATTCTACCCGGATATATACATATGCCTACACAAATTGCCTACATTTATTTTATTTATTTTATATATATTATTTGGCAATAAGCCAAGAATAAGCTAAACGTCTCAAACATCTTTTTGTGCATAAGCACTTGATCGTCGCACAGAATAATACTACAACTATGTTGCAGTCAGCGAATTCCAAGAACCCTTGGGTAGCGGTCAACGTACCATGTACGAACCATATGATCCACGGCCAAATCGCTGTGTCAGCGAATATCGGGCAGGGATAGCTTCACATGAGAATCTTTTTGTATTTTTAGTTTTAGTTTGATTTGAACAATAACCCGGCACAGAACGATATCTTTGTCTTTATTTCGTAAAACTAAACAAGTGAAGACGACAAAAACAGTAACGCCCAACGTGGGGCACGAACTACTCAACCCAAAATTTGTAAGCAGCAACTTAGCATCACTTGATCGGCATAGCGGGAACTGCAACAAAACAAAACAACGCAAAAAAAATAAAAAAACTTATTTCAGCTAAAAACAAAATAAGTAAGTCATGTAAGTAGAGTGTTCATCTAAAAAAAATAAATAATAATTATTAAAATATATTAAATATAAAGTAAACCCAATTCAAGTGTTTAAAATTTGAATCTTTGCATACAACATTTTTAATAGATAAACAGTGAAAATCTTATGAGTGATCGTAAAGTTAAGAAGTGAAAATCTTATGAGTGATCGTAAAGTTGAAGAAGTTGACACCGAGTTTGAAGAACTAATAGAAGATTTAAAAGACAGATTAACACTAAACCAAGTAAAAACAAACAAATGCCTTTTGTCGAAAAGACTATTAGAAGTCTACTTGAGATATGAAAAAAGAATTACAGAAAACAGCAGTGTCCGTATCTGAAGTGGAAGTTTTTGAAAATGCAGTAATAGATCGCAATGTTAAGTGTGAGGAAAGTCTAGATATGGTAAAATCTGTACCCGAATTTGACGGCTATGTTTCATGGCGTACAGCCGCACATACAGCATATAAACTTTTTGAGGACTATGTCGGAAGCTCAAGACATTGCCAGGCATTAGGCATAATTAGGAATAAAGTAAGGCAATTCGAACTGAAGACAATTTACTCAAAATTATATCCATACCCATTAGGAGTAACTGAGTTCGTTAATAATGAAACAAGCAACATGTTAAGGGATAATATTATTAGACCATCCAGTTCACCGTATAACAATCCGGTGTGGGTAGTCGATAAAAAATGAGCAGATGAACAGGGAAACAAAAAAAAAAACGTCTTGTCATTGGTTTTAGAAAACTAAAACGAAAACGGTTGATGACAAATATCCGATTCCGAACATAGTAGATATCCTTTCAAACTTAGGAAAGACAAAGTACTTCACAACTCTTGATTTAAAATCGGGATTTCACCAAATTCTTCTTGCAGAGAAAGAGAGAAAAACCCGCATTTTCGATAGGAAACGGGAAATTTGATTCTGCAGACTTCCCTGTGGTCTAAAAAATGCTCCTGGAATATTCCAACGCAATTAATGACGTACTTCGGGTACAGATCGGCAAGTCGTGCTAAGTTTACGTGGATGACGTGATTATATTCTCAGAAGACATGGAAAACCACGTATATCACATTGCCTGGGTATTAGACAAATTATTTAATGCTAACATGAGGGTATCACGAGAAAAGTCTAATTTTTTCAAAGAGAAAGTAGAGTGTCTTGTCCCGTGGCGGCATTACAACCAATCCCGGCAAAGTAGAAACAATCGGCAAATTTGAGCAGCCAACTACTTTGTTCCATCATAGATCATTCCTTGGCTTAGCAAGATGCTTTATAAAAGATTTTGCGTTTTTAGCCAAACCACTAACGGACATATTAAAAGGTGACAACGCAACGTAAGCGCCGGACAGTCAAAGAAAATCCCTGTGAGCCTCAATGAAAAACAAAAGTTGACATTTGAGAAACTCAAGAGCATATTAATTTCTGAAGACGTAATGCTCCTTTACCCTGATTACCAAAAACCTTTCGACTTGACAACAGACGCTTCGTCTGGCCTCGGTTCAGTCTTATCACAAGATAAGAAGACAATTACCATGATCTCTAGGGCCTTAAGGGACAATGAATTAAATTTCGCAACAAAATGAACGTGAGCTTCTTGCGATAGTATGGGCTTTGAAAACTCTGAGAAACTATCTATATGGTGTAAACAATTAAAACACAAACACATTAAACACTAACATTTGCAGGCTCGGATAAGAATCCGAATGCGAAAATAAAGAGATGGAAATCATTCATCGATGAGCATAATGCACACATTTTCTTTAAACCGGGAAAGGAAACTTTTGTCGCTGATGCTCTCTCAAGGCAAAACCATTATAAGCAAATGCTCCATCTCACCTGGCCACCATACATAGCGAATTGTCGCTAACATACACCATTGAGTCCACAGACAAACCGGTGAACTGCTTTCGAAATCAAATAATTATTGAAGAAGGCACTACGGCCTTTGAGAAAATTATTGTTATGTTCGAACAAAAAACACGACACCTCATATGCTAGCCTAGTAGAGAAAACTAAGTGGAAAAGGTGTGCGATGCAGTTAAAAAGGAAGTGGTGAATGCGATCAAATGCGATTTACCAACACTTGCATTTATTCAAAATACATTAGTTTCGACCTTCCCTTCAACCCAATTCTGGCATTCCAACAAGTTGGTCATAGATGTCCTTGACAAAAACAAGCTGAAACAAATAATAATTGCAGAACATATCAGAGCTCATAGAGCAGTTCAGGAAAATGTAAAGCAAAACTCGTTTGGCAAGATTTGTAAAAAGTCAAAATATGACCGGCATCCGAAAAAACAGCTTATTAGTAAAACGCTAATTCCCAATCGAGTAGGCGAAATCCTCCACATAAACATTTTTTCATATTACATGAAATATTTCTTAGCTTTCAAAATTTGCAACTGTTCAACCCTCAAGAACCATAGTAGACAGTGAACCACTTATTCTACAACTCATGAACTTTTACCCCCACAACAAAATTGCATATTGCGACAATGAACCATCACTAAATTCAGGAACGATTCATTCACTCTTAAAAAATCATTTTAACGTTGACATTGTATATTCCGCTCCATAGTACATCAAATGGTCAAGTAGAGAGATTCCATAGTACTCTCGCGGAAATTGCCAGATGTTTAAAACTTGAAAAACAATTAAGTAGGTGACAAGGTCCTCGTGAAAATAAATAAAAGACTCGGGAATAATTTAACGCCCTTATTTAAGGACGTTACTGTAGAAGCCGATTTGGGGACAACGGTTCTTATAAAGGGAAGGGAGGTACATAATCTAATATCTTTATTAGGATTTGGATTCTATGCCCACTACTTTTCGTAACCATAACAGCCGGAAAGATCGTCAACTACACTAGCTCGGACTACATACCTATAATGGTACACATTACATACATACCTTTAATGATACACTTTCTACAGTCGCACATGAAAAAAATTCTTGAATCAGACATAGGTCATATTAAAACATTTTTAGATACAGTAAACATCCATCATAGACAGACAAGGAGTATAAATATTCTGGGAACAGCTCAGAAGATTGTTGCTGGAACTCCAGGCTTTGCAGACTTGCAGAAAATTAAAATTCAATCAACAAAAACTAAGTAAATCAATTAATAGACACGCACTAATAAATACAAAAATTCAAGAAAGAATTAATAATTTAACAGAATCTATAAACACTATAGTTAAATTTGCGAAAGAAAATCAGATTGACTCAGGTCACCTTTACGAAATATTACTCGCAAGAAATAGAATTGTAATTTCAGAGCTTGAGACAATAATGTTGTCTATTACATTCGCAAAGACTCAAATAATAAACCCAGCAATTCTCGATTCGAAGGACCTAAAAGAAATTTTAAATGAGCACTCTTCAATTATAACTCTAAACGATTTAATAGAATTAGCCTATGTGAACGTTTTGTTAGATCATAAGTTTGTACACTTTATAATCAAATATCCTAATCCTAATTTAGTATGTAAAAAGATAATCATTTTTCCTGTTTAGCATAATGGCACAATATTAAATTTCAATGGCGACAACAACGTGGCAGACTGTTTTAATACAATTTTTCCAATTAGAAATTGCATTCTTTGCATTCTGCAAGGAGTTGCCTTCAGCGACATGCGTACAACAATTACACCCTGGAGGCATTGCACATTGTAGTACTCGTCCCAGTCCCCTTCAGTCACCGGAAGTGATAGATGATGGGATCATCATACTAAATGAGGAAACGGCTATAATGAAAATGAACAGCGGAGCAGATCAAATTCTCCATGACACGTTTTTGCTGACATTCGATGATGAAATCAACATCAATGGGTCTCTATATAAGAACATGAGAAGCATCGTCCAAAGACGTCCAGGCTCTGCAACATCAACTCTCATTAACATTACTGGTCATCAAGAAATTTTGAGCTTACGTTACCTTCAAAGACTAAATTTCGAAAACCTACAACACATTGGCAACGTTGAGAAAAAGCTAATAACATGGCCTACAGTGTTCATCGTATCCAATCAGCAATAAGCCAATAATAAGCTAAACGTCTAATCTTTTTGTGCATAAACAAGTTCCGAACTTGATCGTTGCACAGAATAATACTACAGAATAATACTACTATGTAGCAGTCAGCGAATTCCAAGAACCTTTGGGTAGCGGTTAACATACCATGTACGAACCACATTTCGTAAAACTAAACAAGTGAATACGAGAAATATTAACTTATATATACCAGAAACACTTTGACCATTAAAGCACAACACCAGCACTTTAACAGGATGCCTAATGTCAACATCGCCGTATATAAAATAGATTAATTGGGAAAGTCAAAAAATAAAGACTTGTATTTATGTCAAAGATACTTATACATCAGAGTACCATACTAGACTTGGAATATTAAGTTGACCAATTTTGAGATTGTTGATTATCATAACGCGAGGTTTTACTAAAGTGAAGTAAGAATGAAGATGAAAAAAATAGTAATATATATCGCAGAACAAAAGGGCTATTTACAAAGACAAATATATATAACAAGTAACAAAGCTCTAGTCAGGTTGCTCGACTATGAAATACTCTGATCCCAGTCCTATTGCGTTTTTTAATATTTTCTATAGTCGTATCGAGTATTCAAAAAAAAAGAAAATATATAAACTGACATTACGATAACAAAACTCGAACACACATTGTCTATGCAAGCTCTTCAACTCTACCAACCCCGTGGTTTTACAAGAAGTCGCAAATTTGAACTTAAGTAGCAGCTGATAAATTCAAGTACAATGCAATTGAAATGTTGATTCTTTAAATAGTGAAGAATACACGCATTTCAATGGTTCGGAAAAATGCTTAGCATGAGCAAACTTTTTGTTTAATAACTTCTGTTTTACTTAATGGTTTTTAATGAAATTTTCAGCATGACCTATTTCCAACTGAACTTAAACTTTAAGAAAACATAAATATAAGTTAACACAGACAGTTTTATAAGAACCACTGCACAATCCACATGGATTGCGAAAAAAATATTTAAAATTATTAAAATACACCTTTATTATTTATAAATAAAAAACTCCGCAACACACTCCCGCCCACACCGCGAGTTAAGAGATTAAAAATAATTCTGAACAACAACGTCGCTCCAGCCGTTTCGCTTCTCCAACTGCCCCTCTTGGCCCTGGTTCATCGTCTTTGCGTCTCATATTCAACTTCCAAGGCCATAAGCAGAACAAAAAAAAACTCATGTAAGTAAGTGCTTAAGTGCTTCTCTTGAAGAAGAAAATAAAAAATAAATGAAATAAGTAAGCTGTGAATTGATCAAGGGAACTGGAATCTATAGTTAATTAATTTTCTCATTTTGTCAAAAAGTTCGTGACCATTAATAATAAACCAAAACAGTTACATAATTTATGTCGAGAAATATAGATAATGAACAACACTTTGACAGTGACGAAGAATTAGCCAATCTATTAAAAAAAAACATGACGACACAAGAGGTGATTAATATTATGGAGGCACATACAATAATAGCCCTTGAAGAGCAGGAACAAAGGTTCCTAACAGTAATAAAACAAATGCAAAGTGATTTTGATAGTAGAATAAATGTGGTACAATCTCAGATGAATCAAGTAAAAAAGCTCTAGTCGGGGTGCCCGACTAGGAGATACCATGATCCCAAATTAAAATCGACATTACAATAACAATATTCGATCCCATAAGCTTTATCTCTTAAGTCGTACGAGATATAATTTATGAACTGCATTTTGATAATGTTTTTAATCGATCACAGTAAAGCGGGATAGCTATCGATTTCATTCAACAAGCTTGATATGCGCGTTCTATACACGGATATATAAAAAATATCACGGGACTAGACGGTCGGACAGACTGACGGACAGTGCTCAATCACCAATCGGCTTGTCGTCCTGATAAAGAATACATATGCTTCTGTCTGTTACACATATATTCAAAACTATCAGTTGTTAAACACTATTGCCAACTCAAATCTCTATACTTAAAAAAAACAGTGCTCACATTCGGTATTTTAAGAATAATACTATTGCAGTGCATAGTGGACATTTCACAAAAATAATATACTCTTAAACTTTGTGAATGTGTGAAAAAATACTTTAAAACGGGATTGACATTATCATTATGGAAAAGATATTTTTCCTAATTATATTTTGATAGCATTCTGAGAAATAAATTCATAATAAATTCTGTAATACAACTTGCAATCAAGCATATCAAGCATAGCCAAACCACAATATTAACATCATTATACCTTTTTGGGCTTGGGTCGCATAATATTGGTTCAGCGCGTCCAAAGAATACTATAACTATGCACATTGATACGTAATTTTTGCTCATGTATATGCAACTACGTTCCCAACGGCTAAGAGAATTACCGTTAATTCCCGAGCGCCATGGACCTACTAATGATTGAAATAAATACCATTTCTCCATGCTTAACTCAAAAGCAAGTGAGAATCTCGACGACCATCGATATAGTTGTTTTGGTGTACTTTTAGCGAAGTCGAGAATCATTGATGACTCCAAATGCATTTTAATTCCTGCCATAGGCGATACACGCACCCACCGATCAAAACGAAAGTGTTGTGTTTTCTCCGTTATTAAGTCAGTAATCACTATACTGCGACAAAAATAATGTGGATGAGTGCCAGTGTTATCATGACCGAGTGCAAGACGCACTGGTAAATGGACAATATCTCTATCAAGACGAAAAAAAATTGTGCAATTGCGATTAAAAGCCTTTTTAAATGAATCTTGGTGAACTATTATCTCCATATTACCTCGGGATGACTGCAGTAAAAGAAATATATTTGCTGAAGATCCAGAGTGGTATTGACCGCCAAATGTAATGCGGACTATTATGTCACCACTTCGACAAAGCTCGCCACTGTATACATCTTCCAAATATAGGGGCTTGTCCCAAAATGCTGCTCTATGCATTTGAATAAACAGAAACCCAATCACCGTTATTGGTATAACAATGTAGCAAATGATAATTTCATAATTAAGCCCCACCACTGGACGCTCTAAATGGCATTTAAGATTCATACGAACAGCAATAATTGGTTTAGCATCAGCATCGAGATCGCTAATGAAATTACATCGGCAATGTACACCATGATATACACTTATGTTCATTTCAGGAATGCACTGAATAGTCTGCCAGCTTGGCTCTGGCCGTGCAAATTTCCAAATTCGACAACTACGCATTTCAGTAGAGAAGGTGTAATAAGCACCTGTTTCGCCAAATGAATCCCAATTTTCCAATTTGTTTTCAGAGCGAACATATATATAAACTGTGCGAGCCTTTATACACAAATTCCGTAGTAATAAAGCAGATTTTTCTACAACTCCAGATTTTACCAAGCACGTTGTATTCTTTGTATCTATATCATTCAACTGTGGGTTGTTTGTCATATGAAGTAACACGCGGAAGTCTATATCGGCCTTTGAAAAAGTAACTCCAAGCACAGAATGGCCATAAACCTCTATACGATACATGCGTACCTCTTTCGCACTTATAACGTTATCGTGTATGACATTTTCGACGTCTTCTACAGGATCATCAAATTCAATACTATTTTGTCGACGGTGCCGATTCCCACACTGCACTTTATCGCATTCGGGGTTACTTCCTGAGAAATCAGCTGAGAGTCTGGATACATATTGGAATGGCTCAGATAGTTCTTGCGTTTTTCCCAAGATTGCATTGGATGTATAGACATTAACAACCAGTACTTGCGTCCGCGAATCTTGCTCAGGATACCACCAGTATTGAGTATGCTTATGACTCCGAATAGAAATAAGAACTTCATCATTTCCCAATATTTCACGTAACTCTTGTAACAGCTTATCTGTGAAAATGAGTGTATGCATCGAGTCTGCGGATTTAATCACTAAGCCACCTTCTAAATCTATATCAAAACTCTCCATTGTTAAAAAAAACGTTCGAGTCTCTTTTCTTGTTCGTGTTTCAGTCGGATGTATGCGGCGCGTCATGCCCATACCCATGTAAAATAGGCAGGTACTCAGTTTCCAATGTGCATGCAACCAATTATTAATATGTTCTAATCCCTGTGGATTCAAAGTAGACATTTGTTCTAGTCTATTACGAAAGTTATCGACGTTTAGGCAGGACTCTGATTCTGCTCGACACTGTGATTTCGGAATATACTCCCATTCAATACTGAACTTATCAAGAATTTCAAACATATCGTCCACCATGCCGGAGTAGTATTGATCTGTAAGTGTATATAGTTCGTTATTTACAATAACTGTTTTAAAAGTAGATCCAATAATATGAAGAATTCGAGCAAGCATATTAACTTTCATATCATCCAAAGGTAGAATATGCATAAGTATTTTAAATAAAATCCGTACAAGATGACCCAATTGTACAGTAGATTGCGGCTGGTACTCTCTAAGCGCTTCAGTGAAAATAAGAAGACGTTCCTTAGAATCCATTCGATGTGCTATTTGATCAAGCATTATATAAGACTGAAGCCAATCACCATATTCCAGCCAATAACGAGCACGAGTGACAAAATTAAAAACTGCAACCTCACTATCTTCTAAATCAGTAGAACGAACATTGACATCCACACTTTGATAAACACATGCGCCCAAATAATCACAAACCTAAAAAATAAATTTAAAATAACAGTAAGCAATCACACATGTATTAAATATTTATTTTTAATCTCACTTGTTTGTTGTTTCCTCCAAAGTTTTATAAATTAATGTTTAGTATGTGAGCCAACAAGGACAAGGACAAGGACAAGGACAAGGACAAGGACAAGGACAAGGACAAGGACAAGGACAAGGACAAGGACAAGGACAAGGACAAGGACAAGGACAAGGACAAGGACAAGGACAAGGACAAGGACAAGGACAAGGACAAGGACAAGGACAAGGACAAGGACAAGGACAAGGACAAGGACAAGGACAAGGACAAGGACAAGGACAAGGACAAGGACAAGGACAAGGACAAGGACAGGGACAGGGACAGGGACAGGGACAGGGACAAGGACAAGGACAAGGACAAGGACAAGGACAAGAAAGAGAACAAGGACAAGGACAAGGACAAGGACAAGGACAAGGACAAGGACAGATACAAAGGCATAAAGAAAATTGATAAAAATTACATAGACTTAATATCTATGTTTTAATCGCTACTGTCCGACAAATTTTACATACCTGTACACCTATTTTTGATGTTACAGGTAGTCGCGTAATAATCAACTGTTCAGTTTTGCATTCACTAATTAGTAAGCCCTTAACACTTAAGCAGTACGTCAAAGGCTTATGCAAAGCATTTTGAGTTAGGCACTTGATATGAAATACCGTTTTTATGGCTTCACCATCTATTGGTTTAATATAACACTTAGTGTATATGGGACCCACATTTCTTTCAAGACGCATACTAGACGATCCGTAGTACGTTGAAGTTGGTTTATATTTATGAACAGCTTCCATATTTAAGTATACTGTAATAGACGATCTCTTCGTCGTATTATAAATAAGCCTTTTTGAAGAGGCTACTACTATTTTATTGATGGTCCACACCCACTTTGTAATTTTTACCGATTTGCACGAAAGGCAATGTGCCTTAAGGTGTATATGAGAGCTAACGGAAAATCTATTTCCTTTGCAGTTTGTCACGCACTTAATAATTATATCAATATAATGTCTGGGATACAACGAAAAATAAATGGACTGCACAGCAATCGATGACCGAAGAAGATCAAATGTGGAACGTATACTTAAGATAAATGTAATTATTTGGTCGCCATGTTGAGTAAACGGAGGAATCGTGAAGGAAGCACCTGCAAATTAATCATACGAGCTGCCAATACCGTTGCTAAGAAGATTTTATCAAGACATACCTTTTCCCATCTTTATATTGCAAAGTTTTTCCTCGGTTTTCGTAGCATCACAATACCATTCAAATGTAAACAGCTGTTTAGCATTCTTTGGCAATGAAAGGTCACGGCTGTGACTCCCATTAACGATAATCGGCTTTCCCATATACACTTTACGAGACGGTCCACCACGTATGATAGCAAATAAACGTTGAGGTGCAAGGGCAATGTAACACTAAGGGATAAATATAAAATTGTTCACTTAAACGTATATTAGCGAACCTACTCTTGCTACGAGTGGTGCCCGGCGTCCGATAATTCGTGCATTTAAGCGTACCATTACCATTCGGTTTAAAAGAGATTGCTGCCGAACTTTAAGCTTATATCTTCCAATCTTCAGTTCGGGCTTTACTGTTCCTCCCAAATAGCCTAACAGCTCTAAATTAAATGTTTAATTTTAAGTATTGTAAAATATATTTCTGGTTTACATCTACTAACGGCGCTCTGTGCTATCGTGCAGCGTCCAGTAATAATGAGTAAAAATATCCATAGGACAACGCCGATTAAATATTGCTCGTAGGATGATAATGTTAGAAACTTCATAATGCAAAGGAGAATCTGCATTAAAACACTGAGGTATACGAAATAATGGCTCGCAACGTAAGTTTTCATCTAAGTCAATGTGCGTGTAGCTCACACCTCTAAGCTCATCTGCTGTTCTCCCAATCTTTGTAATCAAGGCAGACACGATGTAATATCCGCTTTTAAAAAAAATTGCTCTTGATACATGGTAAAAACATTCTTGATAAGGAAGACGCTCGTGGATATATATACCATAAAAGTTAAGAGTTTGTTTTAAGCTATTTGTATGATACCATAAAAGTTGTTCACGATACTCGCTTGTATTTGTTTGGAAATAGTCAATTATGCGTTCTTCATCAATACTCAATTTCGTTATAAACCACACATCTCCAAGAGCCTGTAGGGTTGCAATAACGTAGACATTATGATTCACATGGATTCGGTTTACAAATACGTTAGGGAGTTCATATCTTATGAAGGCCGCTACATTTGTCAAGCCAATTAAAACCAGAAATTGTGCCACAATCATAATTTGAAAAGAGAATAAAATAGTGTATATTATTGCGTAGAAATCAATTTGGCCTACTGCTTGTAATATTTAAATTTTCATCAATAATATGCTTAAAAATGTTGGAAATTTAAATCAAAAATTATTAATAAAACAAGTAAGAAAGCTCTAGTCGGGGTGCCCGACTAGGAGATACCCTGATCCCAGTCCTTTGAGTTTTGTAATATTTTCCGTAGTTTGTATCGAGTATTAAAAAAAAAAAAAGAAAACAAATAAAAATCGACTTTGCGAGACCAGGATTCGAACCCGGATTATTTGCGCAACGTGCACAAACACTACAAACACCGCCACTTCATAACTAAAAATAAAACAATAGAAAACATTTAATCTCCACTGGCCTCGAACCCGGACCAAGCTGCATGTGAGCGGCGCCTCTACCAACGCAGCCGCTGTCCTTCTTATGCGATCTATTGCAAATTTGAACATAAGTAGCAGCTAATATTCAGCTTTAATTCAATCGCAATTTCAATTCTTGGAATAGAAAAGAATACACGCATTTGAATGTATGTGTGCACACGCATAGGAAAAATGCGTGCGCGTGGCGCTGCTGACATGTGCTTTTGCAAATTGGCCAAACGTTTTGTTTAATAACTTCTGTTTTACTTAATGGATTTTAATGAAATTTTCAGCATATGATCTACATATCCTATTGGCTTGGTTGAGATGCAAACGCCTTCACATAATGGCCCTAGTTCCAACTTAACTTAAATTCTAAGAATTTGGGGGAATTTGGAGCCGGTATCCAAAATCCAACAAAAATCAAAATTGCATAAAATATACATAAGACTAAATACAAAATTTGGAGGCTCTAGCTCTTAAGACGTTCGAGATATAATTTATTTACTGCATTTCAATAATGTTTTTATTCGATAACAATTAAATGCGAATAGTTATCGAATATTTGAAACAAACTTGACCTGCGCGTGCTATACACGGACCTACAAAAAAAATTTCAAGTCTCTAGCTCTTATAGATGCTGAGATCCACGCGTTCACACATACGGACAGACGGACAGACGGACAGACAGACAGACGGACAGGGCTCAATCGACTCGGCTTGTCGTCCTGATCAAGAATATATATACTTTATGGGGTCTGCCACGCCTCCTTCTGCCTGTTACATACATTTGCACAAAACCATTATACCCTGATTTCCCATTTTTAATGGGATCAGGGTATAAAAAGACAATAATTATTCATCAAATTAATATAAAAGACAATTTAACGAAACAATTTTAACCAAAACTCAAACTTCATTAATGGAACTATTGAGGGGGATACTTTTCTAATTTTAATAGATACTGGATCTATTATAAGTATAAATACCAAAAATATACATAAATCAAAGTATAAAATAATTGAGAAATTTTCAAAAACCATTCACACTATTAATGGGGATATAAAAGTTGACATCTATTTAGTTAACACAGAAGTACCAAGGGAATTTAAATATGCAGATTGCGCAAGAATAAGATGGGAAGATATGTCCCAAAAAATATCATATGAAAGGTTATCATCAAATATTAATGGCAGCAGAAGATATTGAAAAAACAGCTTTCATAACACCAATGGGATTATACGAATATGTTAGAATGCCATTCGGTTTAAAAAATGCCCCTGCTATATTCCCACGGCTAATGAATGTTATATTGAGGGACAATATAAACAAAATTTGTATAGTATATCTCGATGATATTCTAATATTTTAAACAACACTCGAAGAACACAAGATGGCTATAGAAAAAATTTTCAAAGTACTTAGAAATCATATTTTGAAAAGGCAACCAGATAAATGCTTCTTAATGAAAAAACATACTGAATACTTGGGACATATTCTCACAAAAGGAGGGTTTAAACCAAATCTAAGAAAAATAGAAGCAATAAAAGAAATTCCATTACCAAAAACCGAAAAACAATTGAAAGGCTTTTTAGGAATGACAGGATTTTATAGAAGATATATCAAACACTATTCAAAAATAGCTTATTCCAAAATAGCTTATCAATGTATCAATTATTTCAAATGATCCACAATTTATAGATGCTTTTGAAAATCTTAAAGCGCTCATAAGTTCACATCCAATTTTAAAACATCCAGAATTTGACAAACCATTTACAATCACTACAGATGACAGTGATTTTGCCATAGGTGCAGTTTTATCTCAACAAGGAGAACCAATTGCTTATGTTTCAAGAACACTTAATAAACATGAAAAAAATTATAGAACAATTGATAAAGAATTTTTGTCTATTATACATGCCGTAAATTATTTTAAACACTATTTGATTGGAAATAAATTTCAAATTATAACAAATCATGCTGCTATAAAATACTTAAATTCAAAGGAAAAGAAATGACAGCTAGACATCAAAGATGGATATTTAAAAGGCAAAGACAATAAAGTAGCAGATTTCTTGAGCAGACAAGAAACAGCTCAGTTAGTCAATACAGAAAATGAAGAAAAAAGGAAAAAAGAAGAAAAATAATTGAAGTAAATTCAGCAGACACAGAAAACGAAATTGAAATAAAATTACAAAGTAATATAAAGAAAGGAACAGTAGGAATCTTTTCAGCAGTACCAGACTCAGAATATCATAAAATACAATGTATATTAATGAACATTTTTTCTCACTGTAAAAATATAAAATTTTTCAAATGTACAAATAGAGCTCAAGAAATTTTACCTGAGGAAAAATTACATAAACATATTTCAATTTACCATTCAAAAGATTCATTAGTTCAAATGAACTTGTTCAAGTGATCTAGTTCAAATGATCTATTTCAAATGAACGAGTTCAAGTGAACCAGTTCAAATTAACCAGTTCAACTGAAAAAGTTCAAATGAACCAGTTCAAATGAACCCGTTAAAGTGAACAAGTTCAATTGAATTAGTTCAAATGAACTAGCTCAAATGAACCAGTTCAAATGAATTTGTTCAAGTGATCTAGCTCAAATGATCTATTTCGAATGAACCAGTTCAAGTGAACCAGTTCAAATAAAGCATTTCAAATGAGCTAGTTAAAATGAACTAGTTCAAATGAACCAGTTCAAATGAAAAAGTTTTAATGAACCAGTTCAAATGAACAAATCTTACTGAGCTGGTTACAATGAACAAGATCTACTGAAGTAGTTCAATTGAAACAGTTTAAATGAAGCAGTTTAAATGAACTAGTTAAAATGAGCTAGTTAAAATTAACTATTTTAAATGAACCAGTTCAAATTAACTATATCACATGAATCAGTTCAAATGAACCAGTTGAAATGAACCAGTTGAAATGAACCAGTTGAAATGAACCAGTTGAAATGAACCAGTTCAAATGAACCAGTTCAAGCTAACCAGTTCAAATGAACCAGTTCAAATGATTCAGTTAAAATGAACCAGTGCAAATAAACTAGTTCAAATGAACCAGTTGAAGTGAACCAAATCAAATGAACTAATTTAAATAAAGCAGTTCAAATGAAGTTTAAATGAACCAGTTCAAATGAACTAGTTCAAATAAATTAATTTAGATGAACGACTTCAAATGAAAAAGTTTTAATGAACTAGTTCAAATGAGCAAGTCTTACTGAGCTAGTTAAATTGAACAAGATCTACTGAAGTAGTTCAATTGAACCAGTTTAAATGAAGCAGTTTAAATGAACTAGTTAAAATGACCTAGTTCAAATGAATCAGTTCAACTGAACCAGTTCAAATGAATCATTTCAAATGAACTAAGTCAAATAAAATAGTTTAAATGTACGAGTTCAAATTAACCAGTTCAAATGGACCAGTTCAAGTAAACCAGCACAAATAAAGCTAGTTAATGCTAACAAGTTCAAATGAAACAGTTCAAATGAACCAGTTCAAATGAACCAGTTCAAATAAAGCATTTCAAATGAGCTAGTTCAAATGAACCAGTTCAAATGAAAAAGTTTTAATGAACCAGTTCACATGAACAAGTCTTACTGAGCTAGTTAAAATGAACAAGATCTACTGAAGTAGTTCTATTGAATCAGTTTAAATGAAGCAGTTTAAATGAACTAGTTCGTCTAAGCTAGTTAAAATAAAATAGTTCAAATAAACTTGTTCAAATGAACTCGTTCAAATGAACTCGTTCAAATGAACTCGATCAGATGAACTCATTCAAATGACCCAGTTCAAATGAACCAGTTCAAATGAACCAGATCAAATACACCAGTTTCAATGAAATAGTTTTAAATAACAAGATTAATTAGACCAGTACAAATGCATTAGTTCAAATGAACCAATTTAAATGAACTATTTCAAATGAATCAGTTCATCTGAACCAGTTCAAATTAACCAGTTCAAATGAACTAGTTCAAATGAAACAGTTCAAATTATAGAGTTAAAGTGAACCAGTTCAAATGAACCAGTTCTAATGAACCAAATCAAATGAACCAGTTCAAATGAACCAGATCAAATACACCAGTTTCAATGAAGTAGTTCTAAAGAACATGATTAATTAGACCAGTACAAATGCATTAGTTCAAATGAACCAATTTAAATGAACTTTTTCAAATAAATCAGTTCATCTGAACCAGTTCAAATGAACCAGTTCAAATGAACCAGTTCAAATGAACCAGTTCAAATGAACCAGTTCCAATGAACCAAATCAAATGAACCAGTTCAAATGAACCAGTTCAAATGAACCAGTTCCAATGAACAAAATCAAATGAACCAGTTCAAATGAACCAGTTCAAATGAACCAGTTCAAATGAACCAGATCAAATATACCAGTTTCAATGAAATAGTTTTAAAAAACAAGATTAATTAGACCAGTACAAATGCATTAGTTCAAATGAACCAATTTAAATGAACTATTTCAAATGAATCAGTTAATCTGAACCAGTTCAAGTGAACCAGTTCAAATGAACCAGTTCAAATGAACCAGTTCCAATGAACCAAATCAAATGAACCAGTTCAAATGAACCAGTTCAAATAATGCATTTCAAATGAGCTAGTTAAAATGAACTAGTTCAAATGAACCAGTTCAAATGAAAAAGTTTTA